CTAGAGGTGTGTGCTTGCGGAGGCTGAGGAATCCATGGAGATGGCTAGAGGTGTGTGCTTGCGGAGGCTGAGGAATCCATGGAGATCGCTGTAGGGCCTTCAACTGCGATGACCTCACTGAGGTGCATCACAGACTCTCTCATCCCCTTTCAAAATTTTTGATGCAGGATTTTCCCAAATAGCTAAGTTGCCCAAAGTGGACTGTAGTATAAAATTCTCTTGGCTCAGCCTTATGGAGTGTTGCAATTGTACCTCAGCAAGCAGAGACATTACATTTTTAACATCACTGATGTGATGAAATGGCATGATTTTTCAGTGCCTGGCTTCTCTCCTCCACCCTGATGTTCTCTGGTTGTATCTGTCTTCTCACAAACTTTTCAGTGAGGGGGCTACTCTTACAGTGTTCTTTAAGATCCATTTTAATCTATAATCATGGGAGACCCTTCAGTCTCATATCATCTAGTATATGCCTGTGCCTGATTTGTGGATCAGTTGAATTCATTGTCACAGCTGTGCTAAGAAAGCATCACTAACTTTACCTGCATTCTGGGGAAGGAGAGTGGGAAGGAGTTAGTCACCTGGGAAGCTGAGGTTTCGGGGTTCACACCCACAGTGTCTGCACCCAGAAGCCGGGGTCTTAGCCCTGGCCCTGTTGCTCACATGCTGTCTTTGGTGATGCTGTCCCACCTTCTCCTGTCACATGTCAGCGCTAATGAGTAATCATTTATTTAGCAACTGCTCTGCACATAGCTGTATTATTAGCTCCCTGAGAGTGACACAATGCAAAGTTGATTAATGTAGCTCCAGACCTCAGTGCCTTGTCATCTAGGAATTTATAAGTGTTCTCTGTGTTCCTAAATTTACTGGTCAGGACCTGACACTTTGATGTAACTATTTGTGCATACTTTGTGTGTGTGTGTGTGTGTGTGTGTGTGTGTGTGTGTGTGTGTACACGTGTGTGTGTCTGTGTAACTGTGTCTATGGCACTTGGGTTGAAGCCAGTACCTTTGCTATATCTCCAGCCTTTTTAATTTTGATTTTGAGGTATGCTCTTGCTAAGTTGCCCAGTCAGGGCTCTATCTAACTCTTGGTCCTCCTGCTCCAGTCTCTCAGGTGCTGGAATTACTGGGGTGTGCCACCACTCCCCGCTTTCCCGAACACTTGTGTCCTCCAGCACTTTTTACTTGTGTTTGCCTAGAGGCCTTTCCCATCTCCCTATAAATCTGGAGGTGTGTTTATTGGAGTCAACTGAAAGCAGCTCTTACATCGACTTACCCATCTTCTCCACAGGACTCTCCCAGATCTCGCTCTGCTCCTACCATAAAATGCTATTGTCCACTCCCTGGGACCTGAGCCTGTCTCGTTTTCAACACCTAGAAATCACAGCCCATTTTTATGGTGTGCTTTTACTGGTCCAGACACTCAGTAAGAATACTTTAACTTAGTCCTCACAGGACTCCAGAAAAAAACCCACACTTATGCCCCAACATAGAAGAAAATAACGGAGGCTCTGAGTGATGCCTGGCCATGGTCTTCTGAGTATTCCTGCAGAAGCTTGGGCCCCAGAGTCTTCAGGTTCAGCCTCCTGCCTAGCATTCCTGCTGCTCCAGTCACTGTATTTCCCAAGCAGTCTGTAAACATTTGTGTAATGACAGAAAAAGAGAACTGAGGATTGTAGGTGAGTGCAAAGGCCCTCGTTTCCATTCCTGTTCATGTACTCGCCAGTGCTTAGAGGAAGGATGTCACTGTCCCCTAAGTGCCTTTTAAACACCTGAGTCCAACTCTTCTCAAGGATTTCAGAAATTCAACTCAGCACATTTGTAGTTAATCCTTGTCCTTTTTCATGTAAAGAAATATCCTCACATTGTGCCCGGTCCCTCCACTGGCCTGTGACTTAGCACATCATTGTGTTGCTTGAGTCTTACAGTTTGCTGGTGTTATTTGACTGCAAGATTTTCAAGACTCTCCAAGCTCCTAACTATTGTGTGTGGGTTCTACTTTGCTGTGCAGTGTTTGACAAGGAAATTACTTCAAGAAAAACAGGTTGTTCTCTAGTGTGTGTGCATTTCTTTTTCATTAGTGTGAAACCCCTTTTGTGCTACACTTCCTGGGACCAAGATCAGAGAGAAAAACTGGGCAGGACTCTGCTGCAACCAAGGATGTGTCCAGGGTATGCTGGCCCTGGAGCACTAAGCAAGTCACAATAGGAGCCAGGTACACACCACCAAGAAGGACTCTACACTGAGGACATCTCTGCCAAGAGTGATTCTGAAGTCATTTAACCCCATCCTCAAGGTTCCTCACAAGAAATGGAGGATAATAATTCCTACCACACAAGTTCATGTTGAGAAACAGATCAGCTCATGCAGACTCTTCTAATTTAGGATATTTCTATTTTCATTACATAGCAGTAATTATTATCGCTATTACTCTTTCAACTTCTGGCAGCAGTGTTAAGATTCCCTTTGTAACAGGGAACTCTGTAGAGTCTGTGTCTCCTATAGGTGCTGAGTGTGATGTTGAGACCCTTTATCTGACATAAGGGACTCAGAAAAGGTGTACATGGCTGTGACTTGGATGCTACTCTTGAAGCCCTGGGTCAGGAAGGCAGCTGCTTCAGCAGCTGGTGGAACAATAATGTCATTGTGTTCTCCCCATCTCTGGAAAAGGCAGACAAAGATGGTGCATATAATAGTCGGCATTACAACCTATTTTGTAAAAGATATTATCAGAGTTTAACTTTAGACATCCTCCTTCCGTCTTCCCCCCACCGCTGGTCCCTGTCCAGCTTTCCCTCCAGGGCTATTCCCTGGGTTGGGTGAGGCTTTTGTTTAACACTGCCTGAGGAATGTTGCCTGAGAGGACAAGGAGTGGAGGGTTCTGTCCATAAAAGCCCAGAAGAGGGCCGGCTGAGGAGCAGGCAGTCGCGCCTGCTCTCCCGGTTGGCACCATGCTCTGCAAGGCTCTGGTCCTCTGTTCCCTGTGTGTCTTGGCTGAGGCTTTGCCCTTACCAGACCTAGGTAAGAAATCTGTGGTGTGATGCAGTGTGATATGATGCGAAGTGGTGATGTGATGCTATGTGATGTGATCTCATGCTATGTGATGTGTGTGGGGGGAGAGTGAGGACAAGAGATTATGAAAGCTACAAGTTCAGTTGGGGAAAGGCAGCTGGCACATGTGCTCTGGCGCCTTGGGGAGTTGAATGAGTAAGGTATGATTTAGTTTATGGGTTTGGATTGATCTCATGGCTGAGCCAGATGGGATTAGGGCAGGTGACCAGGGAACAACTTAAGTTTTCCTGTGGATCCCATCCCACACTGAATGGTAAAGAGGCCTATTGAACACTGTTTAATTTATTATAAAAAGCCTGGGAGAGAGTTGTCCTTTATTTTACAGTGGAGTACAGTTAATGTCAGAGAGTTATAGCAGCCAATCTTGCCACAGACAATGGTGATTGCTTGGTCTAAGATGAGAACTTATAAATCATTGTGAAGCATGAAACAAATATGTTGTCATCAACCACAGATGAAAAGAGCTTTTTCACCCCAAAATTTTCCTTATAGTGTCTTCTTGAGTTCAGGCCCATTTCTCAGGAGTAGATATGTTCATAACCTTGGATTAAGATGGATGAGGGATTCTTCTTCTTCTTCTTCTTCTTCTTCTTCTTCTTCTTCTTCTTCTTCTTCTTCTTCTTCTTCTTCTTCTCCTCCTTCTCTTTCTTTCTTCTTCTTCTTCTTCTTCTTCTTCTTCTTCTTCTTCTTCTTCTTCTTCTTCTTCTTCTTCTTCTTCTTCTCCTCCTCCTCCTCCTCCTCCT